ATTTTTTCAATTCTTCGTCCCAGAATTCCACGCCCGTTAATCGTAGGCTTCTGAGATCATGTTTATCTTCATTCTGTAGTTTTAATGAGATTCGAAATTGACTATTATTCCGGAACAATTTCCTCTTGAGTGTCCCAGTAGAGCGAATAATCTCCACATAAACGCCCCTCTTCCTCTACATCCATTCTAAATTTTATTTTTTCATTAACCTCATTCATAAACTTCAGGAAATCAGCCAACTATTCTATTCCATGCAACCGTATAAGAACTCTTGGTTGCAACGGTTACATCTTGAAATTCTTTTCTAACTTTTCGATATATACATTTACCAGTAAACATGAGAGAGGTGATCCCATTGGAAGTTCAAATGTCTCCACATATATGTGGTTATTGAATGTGAAATAGGTATCACTTATTGTCAAGTTGATTAATCGTGTTGACTCCTTCCTGATACTCTCTGTTTCTATGATATCCTTTTATCGATGCAAAATTTCTTACAAAATCATACAAAAATGTGATATGAGAGAAGCCTAGGCTCCTTTGAAATTTACATCTGCCCTGTGGCCCAAAGGTATTCGTGATAGTGTAGCGTAGCGATCAGCGTGTCGAGACTATAAGCTGCACTACCGAGTTAGAGTCCCATTGATGGAACAGATGAGGTCGAACCTCAAACTACCCTGAATGAGGATACCTCGTGGTAAGCAAGGCTATATTAATTCAATAGAAAAAGTAGGCCTACTCATATCATTGTGAAAAAATTCACCTATTACTCTTTCATCACCCTAAACGAAGTAGGTTAAATACAGCTCTTATATATATTGAAAGCCTATTGATATACTGAAATAAATATATTATGACAATAATAAGGATATTTTATGTTCATTTAAATTTCTCTCATTGATCTGTGAACCTATTATTCACTATTGCAGAGATGGAAGCTCAAATTAGCAAGGGTCAGAAATCACTTATTTACAATAGATTACGCGTGAGTTGGTAGCCTAAGCCCTACAATAGGCATTGTAGAAGCCTAACCATAGAGATGCCTAAACCTAAGCATGTGACCCATTAAATCAGTTAAACAAGCCTATCAGTGCAGGGCTTGGCCGATTACAGATTGGATTCGGGAATAAGCGGCAAAAATATAAATTTCAAGGAACATACTACAAAGATGGTTAATGGAGGATTGTAAGACAACAAAGATGAGGCAATTAGCTAAGGTAATTTCGCACACTTTAATTTAAAAAAATTTTTGAAAAAAATTAGGGCTAAATTACCTGGACTGAGGCTTCTGTGGGCATGTGAGGTGAAGCATGATTAAAACGGACCAGACTGCCAATATATGCCCTGTTATCAAGCCCAACAAGAAAGGCGCCCAAACTTATGAAGAAAATTACGGATTCTTTGACAATACTTTCAGGCTCAAGCACTGGCGTAGTCTCGCATCTAGCTCGTCTATCTTTATTCTGTTCACTTGATTCAAAGATCCCTATGGAGGTACTGGGGTTGGAAGAGGTTGTCCTGTCGGATTCCGACCCACAATTCGAATGCAGGCAAGCAAGTAGGCGGCAGTAAAAGCCATCGCGAATGCCACCTTTTAACCACCAGTTAACATTGGGTTCTGAAAAAAAGAGTTTTTGTGAAGAAGTCTGGAGATCACCAGCAGAAAGAGCTGTAATAGATCGGATAAGGTAAACTGTCTCTTCAAGGAGACCGATGATCAGGCAAGACAGACTTCGCCATAGTCGTCGGTGTAGGTAAAAGTGATCTTCTGGAGGCAAAAAAAATGTGGGAAACGGAAAATGATGCAAATTATAGTTCTTGATTAAGCATTGGCCGTAATACAGCGTATGTTGCTAAGGTTGTAAATATGGTTATAAGTGATACTATAAGTTAGGTAATGAGTAATTTACACAAAAGTAGAGGATTCGGTAATTAAATTGAAGAAATAACCTGATGGAAGACCTTTTGAGTGCTGCTGTTTATGCACAAGTCTACCTATTAATAAGTGTAAATTTCATAAAATCTGATTATCAATGCGCAACTAAATTGGTCCTAGAAAGTTTGTAAAGCCTGAGTAAGATAATAAGGATCATGGATTTATCTAAATTATCATTAAAAAATATGCAATAGATTCATGAGCTAGACTCCATAAATATTTTTTTCGTTCACAAACTGAATGATAACTATAAATCCCGATCGTCCAAAGTAAACACACATTCTGTAAAAATCTAGCCAAAAAAAATTTTTTTGTGACATTCACGAAAAGTGCTTCTGGTCAGAATAGTTTCATATCAAAGCCGATTATTTACTCATTTACATGAGCCTAAGAAATGCTACATTGTGATGACAAATTTGTGGATGCAGCTGTTGAAAGTGACCTCATGTAAAAATGATTAAAGGAAATCGTGCAATGAGATTATGTGTACTAATTAACAATTGTTTAACAGAAAACATCGAATAGATAACATACTTTTCTAGGTAAACTTATTCACCTTGAATTGCTTAAGAGACCGGTTAAGGGCTAATAGTTTATTTTTCTTAAAATGAAATGAGTAGGCTTCATTATGTCAGTGAATTTTACTCAACCATGTCTCCCAAAAGACTATCGCCATTTCCAAGAGACATCTGAGTTAAGTTGTTCAATTCCTATTTCTAGAATTCCGCACCTGCTGGTCTTACGCCACCTGTAATCACACTCTTCACTAATCCGATTTTCATTCTGCAGTTGTAATGAGACTGAAATTTGATAATTATTCCAGGGTTTGATTTTGCATAAAATAATCGTTTCAGTTAAGTATATCACTTCTACATGCAGAGACAGCAGTATCCTGTCCGCCTTTATCTCCAGTGTGGACTCTACAATATCATTAAACTTGTTCAGGAACCTTAAAAAAGTCCCTGAACTTTTTCTATTATCTGGCTAAATTGCAAGGTAGTCGTTCAAATATCACAAGATCAATCTCGGCGGTAGTGGTGACATATTGACTACTTCCCTCCACTTATTCATATGAACATTAGCCAGAGACAAAATTGATAAGCGCACAAGTGGAAAAATAATTAAATTTGAAATAAATCATCTAAATCGTCAATTTGATTAAACGCGTAAAAAAATCCCTCTCAGATGGTGACTTATTCTCTTTCCAAGATCTCTAGCAGTAAGATTGGCGGCGTCTATATCGAAATATTCGTACGTATTGATAACATAGTAAGCCTTAGTGACGGTCCCCTTCCTTCAAGCCTAATGTCCTAGATCCTTTGAGAGGGCTAATATGAATTCCTAACGGAATTTGATAAAATATTACTAACATTCTTAATAGATACGAAATGAAAGTCCCCCTAATAACATTCTATAGTTTAAAATAGATTGACTTTACAAGTTTGTACTATTCCTCGTACTTTTTTTGACTATGATTCTCAGTAGCTCGTCTTTTATGTGAATCTTCAGTAGTCAGTATGTTGTTAGTAGACGCGTGTCCATTTATAAGAGTTAATCCATTTTAAGATAACACATTCTCCTTCACCCTCGTTGGTTGATCCTTCATTAAACCTCGATGTCCTCGAGGATAGTTCCCATTTTCTCAGTATATCAAGTTTTGTCAATTACTACTGTTGTCCACCACCTTTATAGGCTTGTAGAATGATATTGGT